TAGAAAATAATAAAATTATGGTAAGTTCAACTCAAAATAAACCATCAAGCTCAATGAAAATTAATGATAGTTCTAATATTCTCCAGACAAATCAACCTATGATAAGTTCTTCAACTTCTAAACCTATAATACCAGGAAGTGTGAATCAAGTAAGTTTTTCTCTAAATAATTTTATTTTTAACAATGTAGATGTTATTAATAAATATATCTTAAAAGGAAAATGAAAACCTCCAAGGATTGGACATAGATGACAAAGACAATGATTATGTATATGAATATGAAGAAGATACAGTAGAAGAAAAAGAAGAAGATAGAGATGGAGAAGAAGGAGATGAAGATGTGGAAAATAATAAAATTATGGTAAGTCCAACTCAAAATAAACCATGAATCTCAAAATTAATGATAGTTCTAACATTCTCCAGGCAAATCAACCTATGATAAGATTTTCAACTTCTAAACCCATAGTACCAGAAAGTGTGGATCAAGTAAGTTTTTGACAGGAATTTTATTTTTAATAGAATATCAAGGTTATTAATAAATATATCTTTAAAGGAAAATTACAGTCATCAAGAATTCGAAACATTTGAAGAAGAAGTAGAAGATGGTCAAAATGTTAAAGAATATTTAGAAGATCCAAATTATATTACTTCTACAGATAAAATAATGAATAATCCAATTCCTTATATCCTACAATCTTCAGAAGATGAATTGATAGAAAACGAATATGATGCATCAGATTATTCCCTCAATGACGGCCATCAAAAATTACAAAGTTATGAGTCGTRTAAAAAGTCTTCTAATAATCCCACTGAAATTTTTGAAACTCTTGACAAGAAAAATGATGATAACAAAGATCAATTAATCAACACAAATGAATTTGAATTAAACTCATACGATGATACACAGATATCTACTGAAAAACAGGATGAAAATACAGAAGACCAATATGTTTCAGAAAATAATGAAAGAACTATCTATGGGTATAATATTATAAAGAAAATATTATACATGTTACATGACTATGGAAGCTTGATATTCAATTTTATCATAAACAAAATAAATTACCAAATGGAACAGATCTCAAGTTAGATATAGTGTTGCGATATTATCAAATAAAAAATAAAATATGGATGAGAAACAAAGTAAGAAAACGATAGGAAAATAATTAACATAAGTTAATTTTTGAATACAAAATTTATTATAACCAACATACAAGTAAAAGCTATATAATAACTAATAAATAAAAGATTATCAATACAATGAAATTAAAAATATCTTTTTAATTAATGAAATATAAGAAGTAAACTAACATTGTTAAATTAAAAATATTTCAATATTTATTCTATAAATTGTTCCAATATCCTGTCTGCTTCACGCCAACCAGTTTCAATTGCTCCATGCACAGTTGAAAAATAAGAACTATGTGTTGCTTCACCACCAAACAGTAAAATCTAAAAACATAATGAATAATATTATTTTAAATATACATTAATTATTTTAAAAAAAACATTTTATGAATCACATACATTTTTTCCATTAGAATTAATTAAAGGTTTTGCTAATTGACTATTAGCTTTTCCTTCTTTATCAGTGTTCATAGAATGAAAAGAATATGAGCCATAAAAGTGGCTATTGGAACCCCATTGAGATCTTAAATATTAAAAATGATCATGTTACAATAGATAGCAGTATTATCATAATATTCAAAAACAAAAATGTTAGTTACAAATGTGTTTAATAGTAGGTATACAATATACATGAAATATCACRTTTCATTAATAGGTATTCAATATAAGATACTTTTACCTAGTTACCAAATCTGGAAATGGTATAGTGTATTTGTCTCCCAAAAATTTATTCAATAAATACATCAATCCAATTTTTATCTCATCTAAAGATTTCCGTTCCATGTTTCTTGCAGCAGGACCAACTATCCATCCAAGGAGTGTATCTGGACAATTATCACAGATATAAAAACCAAATACATCACATAGATAATCCCAACCACGTCTCTGAATTAAAAAATATTAATAATTGTATGCAATTTATAGAATTATATATTAAAAACAATGTATTTATAGGAAAGAAGTTATAAGTATGTTCCAAATTTTATGCGCAGTTTCTATTTAATAATTTATTAAATAAGAATAAACATTTTTTGATTGAAGTATAACAATTGCATACTTAAAAGTTTTATAAAACATGTTTATTGTAAATGTAAATCCATGCATGGTGCATTGTGCATGTTAGTATATTTTATTTTGTATTATATATACCAGAAGTAATCAAAGTTTTTCATCCCACAGCTATTTTGTGTGTTCACAATATTTTAACAGCTCCCAAATTATTAATAAGAATTGAAACAATATGGGTGAGAATAATATTTATTTGAGAACTAAAAATGAAACTACAAATATTAGCGTGTGTTTTGTTATTGTTTCCATAATCACTTTAATAATTATGAACAATATTTATATTAACCGTACCTATATTACCTACATTAATTTTGGTTTTTGGTTCTTTGAAGTGGCTCTCTTTGCTAACTCCTGAGATGCACAGTTTTAATTTCTCTGGTATATACAATAATTGTTGTACTCTTATATACTAAGATTTCTGGGTCACTTTAGTAAAATACACTTTAAAGATGTAGAAGAAAAATGATTTTGAAATAGAATAGAGTAAAAGCTGTTAAATAATAAAACTGGCTTACATGAACTAAACATTTAATAATCTATAGCGAACTAATGGTTTCTTAAACCTGATTTAGTGACCCATGATTAATACATTACATTTTACTGAATCATTCAATTAATCAATTTTTCATGCAACTTGGGATATGTCTTATAAAAGTAAATTAATTGCATAACAACCAAACTAAAACATATTAATATTAAGGTTTGATTATAATTTAATCTTACAACCGTTTTGCTAACTAGTAAACATTTAAAGTGGTTTCACATGTAGCAAATGCATTGTTTCTACCATGCAACACACTAATTTTAACCACACTACGGTAGTATTACAACAAGCAGTGGCGTAGCAAACTTTATTAAGTTATGAGGCACAGTTATATTGTCAGACCCACCACCTACCCCACCCATCACAAAAAATATTAAAAAAAAATTTTAAGATAAAATATATTTATTCATTTAAATAATAATGCTTTTTTAACACATCAGATGATCTTTGAGGACACCCAMCACCCCTCAAATTGAGGCACGTGCCTCAAATATAGTCTTTTGTCACGCCACTGACAACAAGTACAGTAGTGCTACAAATTAAGTATCTTTGCTACAATACACCTAATGAAGGGAAATACTATAAAGCAATAGAAATTTATGATAATTGTAGCGAAAAACATAATTTATTTTGTCACTACCTACAAACTTTATGGTAATAATTAAAATATTATGACAGCTATTAAATTAATTTATATACTAGTATAGTTTTTGGGTTTAATCTACAATTGACTCACAAACTCAAATTTTATCCAGTGACCAAATGTCAAAGAAATACAAACTACAAAACACTTTTCAATAAGAAAATTTTAAAAAAAAAAGTAGTGTTAGTGGAACACAGCTATAGTGATACCTATATAATAAGAAAGGTGATAAGTTCAATTACAATAATTACCGAGGAATAACTTTACTAAATATTGTTTATAAAGTATTTTCAAAAATCTTGTTAAGATGTCTGGGACCAACAGCAGATAGATGTGTATAGGGGAGTACAATTAGTATACATATTGTAAAGGAAAATTGATAATTGAACAGCTTGCAATCATTGAACAAATTATTGAAAAAAAATACGAATTCAGGCAAAATATATGGCAAGTCTTTGTCAACTTCAAAAAAGCATATGACTATCCACTTCGATAGCCTGTAAAATATTATGCTTGAGTTTGGTTTTCCAAAAACAAACATAATTTGCTCACAAAAATGAGCACGAGTGGCACAAAGTATCAGGTGAGAATCAACCAAACCCTATCTGAAGAATTTGAAGTAGTAACTAGCCTAAGCAAGGAGATACACTCTCACCGTTGCTGTTTAATATAGCACTTGAAAAAGTAATACATAGTGTCCAGAATAATAACGAAGGTACTAGTATTAGTACCACACAAACTGATGTGATGGTTTTTGGAAGATGATCTTAACCTAATAGAGAACAGCATGCAAATAATAATACAAAATGCTAGTACATTAATTGAGAAGGCTAAATCAATCGGCTTAACCCAGAGGATGATCAAGAAAGTGATCGATAGATGGGGTGAGGAAGGATTTGAAAGTACTAGATGTGACAGATTGGGAAGATGGAATTCAGAATTGGGAAGATTGGATATCTGTAATGGTGATGACAAAAATTCTTAAAATATTATAAAGCCAAAGAAGAAAAAGAAAATATACTAATAATATTAAAAAAAAAACCTAGCTAGCAATGAAAAGTGAAATATACATTCATATAATTACATACTTTATTTTCTTTAATGAATTTTTCACGATCATCATCAGACCATAAGAAACTAAACCCTGTGGTGTTTTTAGACCACCATGAATATGGAAATTTCAAAAATAATTTATCGACAGTCCCAATACCTAAATTCTAAAAACAATCATGAAGTATAAGTATGTGCAGTAAGAAATCAAAAAGGATTTACCATTACCTGTATAGCTTTTAATTTATATTCAGGAAGTTCAGGTTCAAATAATTCATTACATACATTTTTTAAAACGCCAAGACTCATTGTATTTAAAATACATTGTGCTTTAAAACGACTATTATCAGCACATAATACTTCTGCTTGATCACCAGACCAATATATTTTTACAACTTCTTTTCCAAATATTACTTTTTCTTTTATATGTAGATCTTCTACTTCACCATTGAACTTTTCCTAAAAATTAGAAAGAAACCATTAATCAAATTTATTTTAAACAACTAAATAAATTACATTCTTTTTAAATGATACATTCATTCGCTTACAATTTGTATATCTAGTAACTATTTATAACTTAAAACCCTCTCCACAAAAAATAATAAAATGTCTGAACGTAAAAAAAATTACTTAATTCACAGAGATTAAATGTTTAAAGTTATTTAAGTCCTAATTTTTTGTCCAAAAAATCCATAAAAACTTAAACTAATGTAAAACATGACTATTGCTCTGATCAGAATCTAAAAAAACATCAACTAAGAATTTTGGGAAATGTTAATTTATATACCTGTAATAAATCTATAACAGTTGAATATCCTTTTGATTTCCAACTAATTGCAGGATAACCAGGGCAAGATTTATATGTGTCTATATTAATTGCAGATGCTTCAAACCAACTATCACTTCCAGTATAAGAATTTTGATAATGTTGGCACCAATTTATAAATTGCTTCAGGGGTAATTCTTCTGAGTCAACTAAGACATTTTCAATTCTAAGAAAGATAGAAAAATATTTCAAGTTTATATTAAAAAAATATTTATAAAATAAATATTAATACCTTTTTTGAAAAAGTTCTCCTAACGACATGAATCGTTCTAAATCATCCTTTGGGCTATCATCAAGTACAGAATAAGCTACTTTTAAGTATTCACGAAGATGATTAGATTTTATTTCAAGACCTGATGATGTTACAAATTTAGAATTAGTAAATTGCTGTATTGTTTCTCTTTTATCGGATACTAAATTTTGAGCAGAAGCCATTTGGAATACTACATTTCCTTCTTCTCCATGAATCCATTGTGCTCCTAGTTCAATATGCCCATCTAGAAAAAAAAAAAAAAATTATTATTATTGGTAATATTTAATAAAAGAGTAATTATCAAAATAGTTGATTTAATAGGTAATTTATCTAGGAACTAGGATATATGACTGGTTATATCGGGTAAATTATATTATACAGTGAATTAAAGCATTAAAGTGTAAAAGGTATAATAAGGGAATTTACTATGGTCATCAAATGCATTTGAACTATTTACATATTAATGGAGACAAAATAAAAACCCCATTAAAAATGACTAAATTTGTTTAAACTGAGTATTATACACTGAATCTTTTTTTTTCTTCAATGATTTGATTTGGTACGCTTTTAAATTTAAAGATGGCCATTCCACCAAATTTCTATACTATATATTATATCATATATATATTTGTTTTATGTTTGCATGATTGATTATGAGTTTTTGACATAGGGTAAATTTAATTTAATCTTGATGCAGTATAAAGTTTAAAATAAATTATATTTAATTTATAGAAGTACAGTGTTCATTGAATCACTGTACTCTTTGATTAAGAGGACGCCACACCCGCATGTGTTGTCTTCGTCTTTCAAGTGCGTAACATGGCAAATTTTATGCTCAGCARTTCCAATTTAGCTCCGTTAGTTTACAAATTAGAGTAAATTGACCTCTTATAAGAATTAAAGGTAACATTATTATCTAGGTTTTCACAGAGGCTTTTTATTTTATTTCAATTTTGAAGCAAGTTATGAGTATTTTAAGATATACAAGCAATTCACAGTTTTAAAAATACTCATAAGTTGCTTYAAAATTGAAATATAATAAAAAGCCTCTGTGAAAACCTAGATAATAATGTTACCTTTAATATTCTTATAAGAGGTCAATTTACTCTAAGTTGTAAACTAATGGAGCTAAATTGGAACTGCTGAGCATAAAATTTGCCATGTTACRCACTTGAAAGACGAAGACAACACATGCGGGTGTGGCGTCCTCTTAACTACTWGTGTTGTGATTAATTATTTTCTTATCATTAAGATTATGTATTTACTTAATAGCATTAATGGCAAGTAATTAAGATTACATACAGTTTTAATACAATTTTGTATACAATTGTACAACTCTCTGTATGTATTAACAAATATTTTATAATAGTATAATACTTCAAAAGAATATGTTAAATTKTTACTTATTTAACCATTAAGTTATCAACTATAAATTTAGCTTTAACTAAATAACTATAAATCTATATAAATAGATCTTGAAATTTTATTTTTTACTTAACAGCGGTTAATTAAATAAAATTAGATATTATGTAAATATGGAATTTAATATATTGATAACTACATACTATGGTTCATAAATTATATTAATTACAACAAAATTATAGTTAATATTTTAATCTGACAGGGAGAGAAGGTACAACTAATTGTTTATGTATGACATAGATTCTAAGTATCTAAAAACATTTTTAATTTTTAAAAGTTGAATATTATTTTAAATGTTAACATTAAAACGTATAAATATAAAAATATAATATTATTTAACTTGACTTAGTGAGATATGACTATAACAGCCGACATAGGTTCTATTAATAAAGTATTCAGGACTTATATTAAAAATAATAAAACACAATTATTGAAACTCATATAAAATTGTATAAAATCAATAAAATCACTTGATAACTTTTATAATTGAATTAAATAAATAATAATTACCACCAAAGGGTAAAGTTTGAATGCGACCACCAATACGGTTTTCAGCTTCCAATATGATAAAATTATTGAAGTTATTCTTCAGTAGTTTAGTAGCAGCTGCAATTCCTGATACACCTGCTCCTATGATGATGACTGTGTTGAAAGATTGAGCCATCTTATATATATATATATAAAAAAAAAATATTTATATATATATATATTTAATAATATTTAATATTATATATATATATATTAATTAAAATAATTGATGAATACAATTTGAATAAATATTGAATGAATGTCACAGCCACGCCCAATACAGCAATATAATGAAATATCACAGAAATAATCTAATTGATTATTGAATAATTTAAAAACATTATATACAGGATGTTCATATTATTAAAAAAGATCTATGTCACAATTATTTCATAAACATACATTTATAACAACTAGACACAAGGTACTAGTATTTATTATATTTAAATAGTTTAATCATGATTCATGATCTATCATTCAAGTTGTATTATTAAAAACTATATTGATGATACATCATTGATATTGATGCCTTTTAACTTTTTATAAAATATATGTATATTACAAATTAAACCATTGATAATTGTTAATATTTTGCAGCTTAACTTAATATACATGTTTTATAGTTTTATTATATTTTAACCCAAGGAAAAATAAAGACATTATTATAATTATTAAATAAGTCAAAATATTAGATTTGTACGAGAGCTACTGAACAGATGAAAGCAATAAATAGCAATTACAAAGCATATTCCTTATAATTAAAAATCATGATGTATATTTTCTCATACCTGTCTCAGCATATCATAAGATTTAATATTTTTATTTTTTATATTAAAAGTTGAATGATTTTAAATCAGTAGTTTTTGAAAAATTTAGCTATAAAATATTTGTAATTAAAAAAACAAAAACAAATAACCTTAAACAATGCTGTAAAACCTTTTTTAATTTTTGACTAAATTATTGGTATAAACTAATAGGTACATCCAAAATGCAAAATTCTATTATTTATTAAATTATAATATGAATATTGAAAGTTTGAACTATAGTGAAACATAACAACTAAAGTGATAACTTTTTAAACATAATATATTATAATATTAAATATTAATAAAAAAAACAATATAAACCTAATGATATTTATTCCCATACTTACTTTAACACAAACACTCATAGTTATTTAAATTATTTAAGACAAACTTTTAATTTTGCTAACATGATATACAGTGTTTTGTTTGTTTTGAGTACCTACTAAGATAAAGTAGGTAGGTATCTCAAACTATAAAAAAAATATAACGTACCTTCTTCTTATTAGTTATTTCAATAGTCAATTAATTAAATAATATATATCTCAATAATGCTATTTTTTATTGAGTTGTTGCAATTTGCTATAGAATAAATTAAAACTGAAAAATAACATGTAGTAAAGTAGTTTGATAGTTTATTTATTATTTTTCGCAGGTTTTTATTTTACAAATTATAACTCCACATGCAGGAATTACATAACTATTTGAAATTTGTATTATTCACTAGTATTTACGTTTTAATTTTTAGTTTGAAATGTTAAATACAAAAAATTAGAGATAGTAAAAAACAAAATGATTAAATGATTAAAAATTCACCTATTCAGCCATTTAAGTTTAAGATTAAAGTTAAACCCATAAATATAGATAATATTATAAGAAAATAAGAATCATAATAATCCTAGATTTAAAAAACAATTTTGTCAAGCATCATAGAACATAAACATGGATAATATACAGATATATTATCTATGAACATAAATCATTAAATCATAATCTGATTGCTAATAATGTTGATAACCATGTAGAAAAGTGATATCTCTAGATCTTTGATAATAATTCAATAATTGTTGACAACATTATTATCTGGTTCGTCTTTAATTTTATCCATGAACTAAGATATACTTAGTTATATATCTTAGTTCATGATTTTATCTATGGTTCGACTATATCACAGCCCGCACAGGCGCACAGGTCAACAGAACTACAGAAGTATAGAACACAACATTGAAGATCACAATATATACAAGTTATTGAGATCTTTGAGATCTTTCTTATAATAAATAATAATAGCTTCTCTTTATATACATCGTGCAAACATTGCAAAAGTTTTATAAAGTTTCTTCAGTCTAGGACTACACTCCACACGGACTAAGATTTAACGGACTGGAAATCATAGATATTATTGGGTGGGTTATTCTTAATCTTATTTTTAAATATTTACTTTTTTGTGACAGATCCCTTAACTAGGTTCTAATAATATATAAAAGTGATGTACATACAATTTGTACATATCGTATAAATTTAATTTGAGTCCCAAGAGTCCCAAAGTCCTCAAAAGTTTAACATCATGATTCGTAAATGTGACGTATGGTTGTAAATACATATTTTATGAGGTAAAAATAAATTTTAATTTAATAATAAGCAATTTTTAATAATTTCTATGAATACAATATGTACATGGTATACTTATTGTCGTACCCACATCCTATTATAAGAATTATTCCATAAGATTGATTATGATGCTTTTTTTGAATACAGTTGTAATTTAATTGATGAGATTGTAATAAATTTCATAAAAATTTGGACTTAAAATCATAAAAAAAATAATTAAGTTTTTTGACCCAACAAATATGACATTTACGGAAAAAAAAAAACTAAAAGTATTTCAAATGTCTATAAATTACATATTCAAAATATTTTGAACATTTTGTCATGAATAAAATAAACATTTGATGAAAATTTCAAGTATTTTCAGTTAATATTTTTTAAATAACAACAAAATAAAATAGGCGGGTAAGTCGTGGATGTCGCTCTGCTGTACAGTAGGTTACAACTCATACAAGTGGGTTACTGTAATGGATGGAATTAAATTTGAATCTAATGATATTATATCATTGTATACGAAAAACGATTCTGAGCGAAGACGGTTTATCTGTCTAGAATATATTATAGATTATTAAAAATTTTCAAATCTTAGATTTAAAAAAAAAAATTTTTATGAATTCCTAGTTTAAAATAATTTGCGGATTTTCGTGATTTTCGTGATTTTTACGTATGTTGTCTAAAATTCAAACTTTGAATGCTTGTAAAAAAAATTGAGACTAAGCATTTCTTTTATTTTGCAACTGCTATTGTAAAAATATGTTAGAAGCCTTGTATTAAATKTTCAAATCTTAGAATCAAAAAGAAAAACTTTTATGAATTTCTATCTAAGATAATTTGAACAT